ACAGAGTCAGTTTAGTCGGAATAAATAAATTAATCCTAATTTTATGAAATAAACTTTTTCAAAATTGCCGTTATGTATATAAGAATACAGTGCAATCCCTTACAGAAATTTCATGATAATCAGTGCAAACTAATACCTATTTCATACCTATGCAAACTAATGTTTTCAGTCGCATTAGGCGCATTAGGCTTTTTGCCACATAAATAACATATTTTGACCATTTTTACCTGTGTACAACAGCACACATCTAATAAGCATAACCTGTTCGCGTCATCTCACTGATCGCACTCTATTTTCCTATTGGCGGATGCAATCAATCCAACGCATGCGCACAACACTCAAAGTACTCTTAGAAAGAGAGGGAAATATATATTCCCGCACCGTGGTTCTGGGACCGCTTCCTCTCACTCCCTCTTATAGGCACTAGCCATATAGTAGTATTACATATATGTGAAAAATGTATCGCCGACCTAACCTTATTGACGTTATTTCGCGACTCTGATTAGAGGGTCTCTAGTCCGGCCTACCACACCATTGAATGTATGTACGCCTACAGAACGCCGCGATGGACGCGCGGGCCGCGGGAAGCTGCGGGACGGCCTGGCAAGCGCGCCGTTCAAGTCATGACATTTGGGGGCTAGCGGCGATCTTCTTCTTCTTATTTAGTTAATGGCACCCGCCTCCAAACTATGTGATAGGAGGTCGATACGGCCAGATCACGTCTCGATAGTCTTGAACTATAATAGTAACTAGTGATAGATATGTGCGAACTTGTGCACCTTGCTGGAGTAAATAGCTCCAAGCAAATAACCTCGCGGCGGTGTGGCCTGATGAAAGCGGAGCTCCGCTAGGATGGGAGGGGGAGGCAAGGAAGGCAAGGCGGAGCGCCTGCGCAGGCCGCGAGGAGGCGCGAGGATTTGAAACATTAAAACTGTCTGCCGCATGCTTTACTAAAGCTTAGGATTAGTCTACAGAGCTTTGCAGTAGGCTTAGCAATAACATGTGAAAATTTCGTGAGGTTATCATTGGTAGTCGCGACGCGGTCGATCAAGCGTCGCAAAAAACGGGCCGCGTCCCTGGAATATGGACATTCGTATATCAAGTGGAGGATGTCCTGCTTAGGGTCGCCACAAGGGCATGAGGGGTTTTCGAACAAGTTTTTGCGGGAAAGGCTATGATTGAGATTATAATGGTCAGAGCGTAGGCGGTTGATCATAACAATAGCGTCTCTAGAAGTCTTTAAGCGGAAGTACCAAGGTTTGGCGGATCTTTTAAAAATGTGAGAGAAAAAATACGACCCTTTAAAATCAGCCTGCGATATTAAGTGTTGGTAGAAGCTTTCCGTGATTTTGTGATTAATGACCGCACAAATGTCTGAGTAAGGAACTTTAAAGTTGGGTTCTATGCCCTTACGAATAGCCCGCTTGGCGAGCTGGTCAGCCTTTTCGTTACCAGTAATACCGCTGTGAGAAGGAACCCAAATAAACTGAATGTTAGTACCCTTAGAGTGAGCCATTTCAAGAACAGATTTAATAAGCGGAATAAGGTAGTTATTCGTGGGGTTACAATGTCCGCTAAGAGACTGCAAAACACTCATAGAGTCTGAAACAATAGTAACGTTCTGAAGATTCATATCAATAGAAATCATAATAGCATTGTATATTGCATAGGCTTCTGTCGAAAAGATCGACGTGTACGCGGGAAGTCTATACATAAGCTCAGCCGGCAACTGTGGCGAGAAAACCGCCGCTCCCACATGAGTACTGTGGTCCGTTTTAGATCCATCCGTATAGAATATGGTAGAGTGCACTAAGAGGTGATGAAATTCATTTTCAAAGAATGATTGAGCACTCGGACTAGAATTTGAAAGAGCGATATCAGCAGGGGGGAGAGAGAGCGAGGAATAGGAGATAGTGGTGATGGTAGAACGAAAGGAATGGCGGAAGGAGGGAAGCGTGTAAGAGCGGTCAACGAAAGAGTTGTAATAGTACCAGATGTGTAAAAACCGGTTTGCAGCAGGGAAGTGCTTATGTAAGTAATCCAACCTAGAGGTGGCTCTAGCCGTATCGCAAAGTAGGTGCAGCTTTTCCACCGTGATATGCCCGCGCACAGATGAAATCTTTAAGAAGTATCGAGAAGTGAGAAGACGAAACCTAAAGGACAGCGTGAGCTCCACTGTTTCGGCGTAGATGACGTTGAGCGGAGTGGAGATACGGTATCCAAAACATAGACGGAGGGCTTGGTTTTGGATAACTTGGAGAGCCCGGGAACGAGGGTTGTGGTTCATGCCGAAGATTTGTGCAGCATATTCTACCGACGCGCGCAGCATGGATCTATGAACGTTGAGGAGCAGGTGCGGATGAGCTCCCCACCAAGTACCCCTAAGAGCGCGGATTATTTGGAGAATGCGTTTACCTTTGTCTATCACTGCAGTCATATGGGCCTTGCCAGATAGCGTGGGGTCCAACAGGACACCCAGGAAGCGTACTACGTTGGAAGGATAGATATGTTGGTCTTGAAACGTTAGATAAAGGTTCCTATAATTAAGAGATCTACTATTAGAAAAAATCATAAATTGCGTTTTGCTCAAAGATATATCCAGACCCAGATCGCGCAAGAATACATCTAATCCCCGAAGGGACTGTTCAACAGAATGAATAGCAGACATGATATCTTTGTGTGATGAGAAGATAACAATATCATCCGCAAATTGAAGGAGTTCTGTGCAGGGGTGAAGCGAATCGTTGATTTTCCTTAAGTAGAAATTAAAAAGCGTAGGACTAAGGACAGAGCACTGAGGGGTGCCTTTGAAAGAAGTAAGAGGTTCGGAGATGGTACCCTGATTGATAAATTGTACCGTACGTTCGGAGATGAGGTTATGAATGAAAGAGATCAGAAGAGGAGGGAAGTCTAAATCTAGAAGGTCTTGAATAAGGATGTGTGGTAAAACATTATCAAAAGCAGACTTGATATCCACAAATACCGCAACTGTGTTTTGTTTAGTTAGGAAGCCCGCGTGAATGGAGGCGACGAGTGCTGTAAGATTGTCTTGGCAAGAGCGGAATTTCCGGAAGCCAAATTGGTTATTCGGAAGAATATCCGATAGAGGGGATTCCACGAGCCAATAGAGGCGATTCAAGATCATCCGTTCCATAACTTTGAGCAGACAGGAGGTGAGCGAAATGGGCCGGACACCACTGTTGTTAGGTTTAGGAAGTAAATGAATAAGAGAGTGAGACCATTGAGAGGGGAAAATAGAACAGCGAAAAAGATTATTGAAGATATAGAGAAGAGTTTGCATTAATTCAACGGGAAGAGCCTTAATCAGACGATAGTCGACTCGATCCAATCCCGGACTAGAGGAACATTTAACCGATTGGAGAGCTGCAGATAATTCCTCTATAGTGAAAGGAACATCCAGCCATGCAAGAGCGCCGGAGTAGACTTCAGAAATTATGGGAGGCGAAGGGGGCACGAAAGGAGGACAAAGTTTCGCGATAGTCTCTTGGATCGTGACCGATCGGTCCACAAATCTGTTGTGCGCCTGTGAGTTTGCCGCAATGAGACGGCGATTGCGAAAACGCTTGAGCATACGCCAGATATCCGCGGTCGGAGTCTTCATATCGAGAGAGTCGCAGAACATTTTCCAACCAGAGCGCTTAGCCTTTTTGAGCAGTTTGCGGGTCTGAGTCATAACAGAGCGGTAATAAACATAGTTATCCCAAGAGGGATTATGTCTGAATGTTTTTAAGGCTTCTCGACGTTGATCTATGGCCACGGAGCATTCTGGTGTCCACCACGGGGACGGCGGAGGACCCTTTTTGGTGAAGGCCGCACGAGAATTTTTAGATGAAGGGGGCGGCTTAGTAGGAGAAAAGGCTTCGTAGCTCCTGGATATTGACTCCATGAAGATGTTATATTGCGTAACAGGATCATCCGGATCGATGTCCATGACGCTTTGATAGAATTGGCATTGGTGAGAAGATATCTTTGAACCTCCAACCATTGTTCGTTGGACAAGTTGATTTTATACGCGAACACAGAAGCAGTACGGATCCCGCCATTAATCTGGATTACAAGCGGGAAATGGTCACTGCCCATCAAATCGGGGGAGACTTGAGTTTCACATAAGGAAGATATGCGAGAAGAAGCGATAGCAAGGTCTATAGTGGAGGAACTAAAATGGGAGAAGGAAATATAAGTAGGAGAGAAAGGAGGATTAAGCACGACTAAGTGATGATCATCGATGAAATTAGCGAGCATGCGACCAGCTGCATTAGAACTAGCTCCCCCCCAAATCGGGTGATGCGCATTGAAATCGCCGAGAAGAATGTAGGATTCATACTTGTCGAGAACAGGAGAGAGCGAAGAAAGAGAATTAGGAGGAGCAGGAGCATTCGGGTGTCTATACCCGCCAATTAAAAGAAGGCGTGAGCTATTAAAAGAAAGCTCAATCCCAAGGGCCTCGTAAGAGCCATTAAGGGCCGTAGATAGATCGACCTGAGAATAAAGAATAGGATTACGAATCAAGACCAACATTCCCCTGACATCGGCCTGATTGGCATCGATGCGCAGACAGTCATAGCCCATGACGCGAAAATCGCGCGAAGAGCTAACACATGTTTCAGCGAGAAAAAGTATATCCACCTCTTCAGCCAACTTCTCTATGTCACCCTTTTTTCCTAAGGCGCCACGACAATTCCAGAAAGCAATCTTAACCGAGCGAAGAGCGTGTGTCATTGTTGGAGAAAGTTAGGAGAAAGTCTATAATTCGCTGAAAATCTGGACCGAATAAGGATGTGAGCAAACCACTAGGTATATAACTCAAAATTTTTTGCAAGAAGGAGATTATGGACTGTATAACATAAGAGAGACCGCCTGAATTCGTTTCGGTGGGGTGTTTAGCGGAGGGGAAATTATTAGGCAAGGAGTAGGAAGTATGTTCAAGAGAGGGGGAGGGAAGGTCATGAGCAGGAGGAGAAAAAGAAGGAGAAGGAAAAGAAGAGGCAGAAGGCATTCTGCCATTGGGCGCGTAAAGAAAAGAGTTGTGGATGTCCCGAAGGGGCATATTGTCTATAACGGCGTGAGGGGCAGAGGATTTATTTTTAAAGTTGTGAGAAGGCTTAAAGAAGTTACGAGGAGCAGAAGTGCTCGCCTGAATAAGAGGATCCAGAGGAGGCGAGGAAAACGAACGGCCGTTAGAGGGGGCCGTAGAGGAGGAAACGGAAGCATAAGATTTACTCATATCAGGTCTAGAGTGCAAGGAGAGAGGGTTCTCTGTAACCAAATCATGGTAATTGACAAGACGGCGAGGAGGAATGTGAGTATGAGGAAGGGAGGGGAAAACAGAGGGATGGAAGGAATTAGGGAGGGAGGAAGACGAAGGGGGAGGACCTCCCAGTTTTGAGCGCGCCTCAACATAAGAAATATTTTCGATTGCTGCAGTTGTGTAAATTAGTTTCTGTTTTAAGAAAGCCGGGCAATTTGAAGCGGACGGCAAATGTTCTCCACCACAGTTGCAGCAAAGAGGAGGCAGCTGAATCCGGGGGCAGTCATCGGGCACCAGGTGCTTGTTATTACCGCATCTTTCGCATCTGGATTTGCCTTTACAGTTAGCGCTGACGTGTCCATATCTAAGACAGCAGAAGCACATGAGAACTCTCGGAATATATGGTGAGACAGGAAAACTAACATGCATAAAATAGACAGATCGCGGCAGAAACTGCCCGCGGAACTTGATCAAAACAGTTCTGGAGGGAGAGTAAGTCACCTCGCCGTCTTTAAGAGTTCGGATATTTAAGCGTTTTGCGGAAATGATTTTAAACTCAGATAAAAATTGATTCGCTATATCTACCTCAGAAATATCCAGAGGAACGTTGCGAATGACGCCCGTCCTTAAAACGTTGAATGACGGAATGAAAGCGGTGAGACCAGCCTCCTTCAAACTCGGGTGAGAGAGAGTTTTATTAGCCATATTCAGATCATTGAAATGAATCGCGACCCTACTGCGGCCCGACGCTTTGATCTCGATTATTTGGTTTTTCGCGAAGCTAGCGACAACGCGCGCTACCGCGATCGGGTCCAAACGCGAGGTTTCGTTTTGGTTGGAGACGTTATCCAGTCGTCGAACAAAAACAATAAAAGGGGGGCGATCCCCTTTAACATATGTTAAGGTTGCTTCGGCGCTAGCCGCTTTATCAGAATCCGAAATATTGAGGTTATGTCCGATGACAGATGTAGGCGTGGTGTCACCCTGAGGTGCAGTATGGGCACGCTTGCCGGGGGGAGGCCGGGGCCTGCCATCACGGACGGTCTCACAATCCATCTTCGAATCGGCAGAAGAAACACCGAGAGTGTCGTTTATTATCGGGGGGGGGGGGGGGGGACCATTGACATAGAAGCACGCGAGCGTGTAGTATGAATCTTAGCACCGGCTTCAACATTAGCACTTGCCTCCCCGAGAGGAAGCGAGAGGCTAGAGGAGCGCGAACAAGCGTTATTCAATGGGGTTCGCGATCTAGATCGAGATCTCGACTGATAACTAGAGGTGGAAGCGGAAGAAGGCGAAGTTTCCCGCGAAATCAGGGGGGACCCCCCCCTCCTCGATTTACGTTTTTGTTCGCCTTCCGCGGCGACACAACTAGGTGAAGATTTCAGAAAATTAGCCTTTGCCGGCAGGAAACTGGGCGCGAGAAACGTAGCATTGTCCGTCACTTTATTAGCACTCACGAAGAAAGAGTCGAAATCTTCCAGGGACGCGGAAAAACTCTTACTCAATGGCGTCGAACCGCCGCCGGGATCCGGCGGGGCGGCCGCACCTTCCTGCATGGCGGGGAAGCCCCGCAAGGATTAGATAGCAAAGCGTACTCACAGTAATAAATCGGTAAAAAAAGCCTTTGAAAGGAAAGGCACCACAGTTAAAAGATGCAGGCGATGACCTACAAGACACGGTCGAAGTAGCACAGGCACACTGAAGTGGTCCACACCGCACGAGCGCTCACGAGCGAATCCGGCTAGCGGCGATGTGCGCGGTGCGGGCGGCAGAGCGCTTGTCAACCAATCCCTACTCTTCGCGCGACTAGCCATCGCGATAGCGAATATTCGGCGCTTTAGAAATTAATATTTTGACTGCGAAAATCGGGAAATGATCAAAATCTTTTTGAGAACTCAATTTAGTTCACTCTAAAGCGTGTATACATGCCCGTGTACATACAGAAAAAATATTATAAATATGAATTGTTTTAAATAAATAATAAGTGTATTTTAAAAGGGTACTTGATAATTGTACCGACAACGTTCATTAATAAAATAATTAAGAGAATATACCATTTTATTAAGATTTTAAGAGAGCAAGCTATACTCTACCTTTTAGAAGACAAATATGTGTCTTAAACGTATAAAATTATACTCATTCGTCGTGTTTATTCACTCAGAACGAAAGAATCTATAAGAAAAATGCGGGGATCGGCCTTGTGAACCGAGTTATTAAGCGTTACAGTTCGAGACTTTACAGGTTAAGATATCTGTCATCCCGATTCGATATATATTATGTATATGTGTACACATACGTGTACACAGTCGCAAGTATACTGCACATATAAATATTCAATATGGCGATGAAATCTTGCAAGTTATTCCGTTCGGTGGACATAGCAGTACACGGAACATTTTTCGTGACCAACTTTTTTCTCCATATCCTATCTAGTTAAGTCTCCTTACTCTTACTTCGTGGTCTATACTAGAGACCTAGAAAACAGAGATGCGTCATTGAAAGGTATGGCTTGATTGGTTGTCTAAATCACGTGATCAGAGAGCCATTTTAATTCACTATTGCATCTAATAGATATAGTTTTATAACGTATGTACATATATGTATATATAGAGAAAAATTTAGACAATACAGTGTCGAAGTGCAATAAAAAACTATTATTATGGTGTAAGTATTCTTATTTGTGTGAATATTTAATATCGGACTTAACCTAACCTAATCTAATCTTTCTACTTTTTGCATCAACTGTCATCAGCTTATTGGTCAAGAGCACTTATATTGAATTAAAATGGCGGTGGTTACCTAACCCAACCGACGCAATGTCGCATCTCTGTTTTCTAGGCCTCTAGTCTATACTTATCTGAAATAAGATACGTTTCTGAAACACGAATAGGCATTTTAAAATAAGATTGTCTTTGACAAGTTATGCCTTCAGATTTTGTTCAAGTCTTTGCTCATTCTCCAACTATGAATCGAAAGGGCATCTTAACAAAAAATCTTACATTTAGATTCACAAATTCGAAGTCGAACGTTTCGATCCTTTAATCTGAACCATCATCAGCAATAATATAAAATGATTTTAAAGATGTTGTTGAAAACGCAATAACATTCTTCACTAACAGAGGTAAAGCCAACACTTGGTGGAGTGTTAACCAAATTTTGAAATTAGAAAAAATGTATGTCAAGTTTTTATATAAAGTTATAATTCGAGATAACAAAAGTTTATCTTAGTAATAAAAATGTTAAACGGGCTTACCTCTATTTTTTGAGTCTAAATGAAAGATTTTTTATATTTTCCACGTTCTGTTAACAGCGTATGACTCCGTATAGCCATTTATACTTGATTAATTTTGATGTTTTTTTAATCTCTTTATTATAAAGGCCATCACATGTACAAAAATTTTAGTAGTAATCGTAAGGTCTTAAGCAAATCGACCAATCACAATCAAGATTAATTGTAAGATCTCACATTTTAATACGCTAACCTGTGATTGGCCGATTTGCTTAAGACCTTACGATTACTACTAAAACTTTTGTACATACATGTGATGGTCTTAACACAGCTATATTTCTATGTAAGCTATACTTTCATTTGTAATCAAATATTTTTATAAAAAGATTGGACGATCACCAATCATGACGGCCGAATGTCTAATGCCTAGTTCACACTAGGCGCGATGAGCGATGCGCGACGAGCGATAACCAATAAGAACTCTGCTTTACATCGTCGTGTGAGC